CCCCTCCCCAGCCCCTCCCAGCCCCTCCCCAGCCCCTCCCAGTCCCGCCAGCCCCTGGGGTGTAGAGCTTTGTTTTGACTGAACGGGAATGGCACTGTGGGTCTGACTTTGAGTGCAGGTGGCTGTCCGGTTTTTGCCTAGTCTGTTACTGGTGTTTGTACACTTTTCCATCTTTCATTTGGATCACTTGCCTTTTGTCTCCTGACATTTGTCTCTCAGATGTGTAATTTCAGAGAGACGCTGGTCTTTGGTCAGTCTCTGCAGACGGGACTGCAGGCCTGGTGAGGCGGCACCTGGTTGGTGTGAGGACTCCGCCAGCTCGTGTCTCAGAAGTGGCCATCCCGAAGCTGCCGGATGGCGTGGCGTTCACAGTGGGCAGCTGATGCGGCCTTGGGAGGGTTCGCACCTGGCCAGGCCCATTCAGGAAGTGCGTGCCGCACAGTATGTCCGTCCTTAAGGCCTGAGACACTGAATCTTCCTTAAGGGATCCTCTGTATCCTGGAGGCTTCCTTCCTTCCTTCCTCCCTCCCTTCCTCCCTCCCTCCCTCCTTCCCTCCCTTTTCCTCTCTTTCTTTCTCACTCTGTCTTTTCGTGTGCCAGTCCTGGGGCTTAAACTCAGGGCCTGGGCACTGTTCCCTAAGCTTTTGTGCTTACAGCTAGCACTCTACCACTTGAGCCACAGCGCCACTTGTGGCTTTTTCTGAGTAGTTTATTGGAGATGAGTCACATTTCATGTGCTTTCCTCACTGGGCTGTCTTCTAACTGGGAGCCTCAGATCTCAGCCTCCTGAGTAGCTAGGATTACAGGTGTGAGCTACCTACCAGCCTCCAGCTCCTATAAGTGTTCTAAAAGCTCAATTTTCATTTGTTTGTAACTTGCCTGAGATTTACTGTCACGCTGTCCTTCCCAGGAGCCAATCTGTGCCTTGGGAGGGTGCATTGAACGGTCCCTCCCTCCCACTGCTCTGCGCACCCAGGCCGCAGCACCACCAGCTCTGTCCAGGCCAAGGTGGGCAAGGTAGAGGAGGTCCACTAGGGGGCAGGAGAGAGGTGTTGGAGAGGACAGAGGAGACCACAGACAGGATCAACTCTGATCCCAGTCGTCAGGATTAGCTCAATTTAAACTCTGCAGCAGTGCCTCCCAAAGCGTGGCCCCAGGGGTCGGTGTGGCTCGAACAACGTCCTAACACCGCGAGGTGCCTCTGCATCCCCTCCTCTCCAAGCGGAGTTACTAAGCATAAAAGCCAGGATGAGAACACAGCGGCCTTCCATGCAGATATACTAGTTTTTCTATGAGGGAGAATGACGGCAGTGTAAACAGAGCCAGGTGTTCTGGAATCCCATGGAACCCCGGCCCTCGGGAGCTGCCAGGTGTTCTGGAATCCCGTGGAACCCCGGCCCTCGGCAGCTGAGCCTGGTGGACGGAGAGCTTGAGCTATGGCTTGCAGTGGGACCCGGTCTCAGAAAACCAAAACTAAACCAGAAACCAAATAAATGTGATTCTTCATTAAAGTTTTGTTTTGCAAAAGAGCTATTTTAATAAAATGATGCAAACACACGAAGCTTTTGTTCTTGTTTTGCGTCTGTGTGCCAGTTCGGGGCTTGAACTCAGGCTCTTAAGCTCTCACTTGGCTCTTGCTCAAAGCTAGTGCTCTACCACTTGAGCCACACCTCCACTTCTAGCTTTTTGCTGGTTAATTGGAGATGAAAGTCCCACTGTTTTTCCGCCTGGCTGGTTTCAAACTGACATGCTCAGATCTCAGCCTCCTGAGTAGCCGGGGTGACACCCTGAGCCACCCTGGCTGAGGTTTGTTTTTTAATCGCTACTATAAAGGTGGTGCTCTGAGGGGTTACGATCCCCCAAGTCAGGTAAAAAGTACATTTCATCCCTTCCTTCACTCTCCCCTAGTTTTTTCCTTCTGATCCCTCCCACAAGTTGTGTAATTCATTTAATGTTTATTATTTTTAAAGGACTTGGTACATAATCGTTTTTTATTTCTGAGTCATAATTTCTAACCAGGGTAGAATTAGCCACAAAAATGCAAAGTGTTTGAGGGTCCTTAGGAGCCTGTACGATTGATCCTACGGGGTTCTGAGACCCGTATCTCGGCAGGCTGCTCGGGGCCAGATCACCACAAGGGGGCGGTAGGTCCCGCCGCAGGCTGAGGTGGGTAGGGCCTGGCGGCGCCTCCCAGGGGCCTGGGCACCCTCTTCTGCCAGTCTCTGGCTTGGGCGTGAGAGAGGCCTGGCCAGGCCTCTGCAGGAGGCGCAGGCCCCTGCTGGCTCCAGTGCAGCCAGGCCTTTTGGTCCAGAGGCTG